CCTCTCTTTGACAACATACCGAAGTCTTGTCTTTTAAAACAATATGCATTTACATACAAAAGAAACCTCTGTTCCCACAGAACATATACATTCCTCATTTTGCAGCCTGTCAAGTCAGAACTTTTGCATTCTCCCCTACTCTGATATATAAAATGATTTAGCTTTTTGCTGACATGGTTTGCCTTACACATAGGAGAAGAAGCAATAGTATGTTCGTAATGTTTTATGGCAGTGTGGGAAAGGGAGCTGCCGTGGCTCCCAGTCCCCCAGACCCCACCCCCACCCCCACCCCAACTATGATTTGCACTAGTGGATGAGAGAGGCACTACATCATGGGATGGACTTTGTAAAGTGTTACAGTATCCTTTGGGTAGATTCTGAGAAGGGGCTGGAGAGGAAAGCATCAACACTCCATGCTTCAGCAGGCTTTGGGGAGCTCCGGAGGCAGGTCGGCTGCGGACACACGGTATTGCACCTTGGTGTTGGTGATTGCGCCATGCTTCTGGCGCAAATGAAGTCGAAGCTGACTTTTGTGACGGAAATGCAGGTTACACTTCTCGCACTAGAGAGACATCAGAAGTAGAATGTTAGCAGTCATCAACTCAGGAGACGCATCATTGTTCACAAAGACCCAGGGCAAGGATTGTCTCTATGAGGGTCAAGGCAGCTCTTCCTTCTAAAGGCCAAGCTAAGAACTCATTTGGATCTTGGCTTCTGTCAGGGGTAAGTATTGCACAAATGTCCTGGTCTCCCCTTCCAAAGTGTCACTCCTGCCTTCCCCTGGCTTGAGATATCCTTCCCTGACTTAACTGCAGAAGTACAAGTCTATCCAAAAGATAAGTTCAGATAGGCACTCTTAATTATTAACACATTTGTGAATTTCTCTAAGACAAAAACAATCCATCCTTCCTTTAAATCTCAGAGTTACAGCCTTGCCCCACAGCATCCATCTGTACTAACATCCTCATCAGGTGGATCACATTTGAAGGCAGTGAGTACTTCTCACCAAACTCCATAGTCCTGTTACCAAGGAGAACACACTCAGAAAATTCTCCAAATGCAACTGGACAAATAGATTACACCAGTCGAAATTCAGGGAAATTCTTGAGTCATAGAACACATTTTTAAAGGAAGTATTATAGATCATCTCCTCAGGGATAAGACCTTTGAATAGATAAGCTAGCAAACCATTAGCAAGTACAGCTGTTATTCACAATGATTCAAGGAATGGGTGATAAAGAGTTTTAGTAGGAAAACTTACTGAAAAATAAAATGGATAACTAAACATAATTGGGTACATTGTATCAGATCCTGGAGGATAAAGGTTATGTTTAGATGAAAACTAAGCAAATCCACATGCAATATGGACTTCAATTTATAATTATCATTATTGGTCCATTAGTTGCAATAAATTCATCTATAAAACTAAAACTATTCTATAGTAAAATGGATGGAGAACATGCTTTACAATAAAAATGGAAATATATCTAGAAAACTAGTTAACTAATTAAAAGAAAGGGTAAGACAGTGAATAAGGAGCCTTGCTCTTGAGAGACATAAGTCCACTGCAGCTGTGTCACCCACTGCTACGAATCCTGGCCACATCATTTTTCTCTCTCAGCTTTGGCTCTCCCTTTCGTAAGGAATTGGGTCAATAAATGTCAAAGGTCACTTTTCAACTCTCAGAGCCTCTGCAACTAAAATTCTATGTGCTTGAGCAACCCAGAGCACTGACTAAATTAGTTACTTTAGCATTACCACCTTATTTTGAGGCTCGCCTTACAGATGAGGAAATTAGGCATTAAGAGATAATGAATTTTCCCAGAAACAAAGGGCAAATACAAAGATATTCACTAAAAGCCTTAGAAACAAGGAAACAAAAATGCTTTGCAGGTTGACATCTGGATGTGAATGAAGTATTCATTGATTAGTTCTTGTGCCCAGAAGCACCTGGTGTGCTGCCATCAATGCCTCAAAGCAGACAAACGCACTATGTAAACAAATCAGTGTAGCTATGTTCCAAATGTACTTTATGGCCACTGAAATGTAAGTTTCCCATAATTCACAGTCACAGTTTTAATTCAGGCAATATTCAAAGTTTAACCATCAGGCTGTAGCTTACTGAGACTGTTCTAGGACATGATAATTCCAACAGCCTTTTTTAGCGTTGCACTACACAGATAGGTAACTTTCTTTTCTGAAATGGCTTTTGCTGTGTTTTGTTTGGGTTTGGGTGTTTTTTCATACCACACTTTTCTGATTGTTCTCCTACTTCTTTTTTAAAGAAATATTTTATTATTTGTATTTTTTGTGCATGAGTGTACTGCCTGCATGTAGGTAGGTGCACTTGAGTCATGCAGTGCCCTTGGAGGTCAGAAGAGGGTGTCAGATCCCCTGTAACTGGAGTTACAGATGGTTGCTAGCTGCCATGTGGGTGCTGGGAATGAATCTGGGTCCTTTGCGAGAGCAGCCAGTGCTCTTAGCTGCTGAGCATCTCGCCAGCCGGGCTCTCCTTCTTCTAAGACTTCTCTTTTGTTTGTTTTCTGTTTTCTGAAACAGGGTCTCCCTGTAGCCCCAGTTAGCCTAGAACTCACTGTATAAACCAGTCTGGCCTGGATCTCACAGAGATCCTGCCTCTGCCTCTGCCTCTGCCTCCCAAGTGCTGGGATTAAAGGTGTGTGTGACCATGCTGGGTCTACAATCCCTTCTGAGCCACTCTTAAATATACACCTGAGCTACTCTTAAATATACATCTAGCCTAGTGTAGAGGTTCACTGTGGGCACTTAGCAAGTATTTGTGAAATGAATGAATGACCCTCAAATCTCCATAGGCTGCACTTTATTCCTAAGGGTCAAGTTACCCAGCACAATGCCTCCATTTCAATGATAAATACACTAAGATCTGGGATTGTTGACTGGGGTGGCTATGATAATCAGGCTCAGACTCAGGTCTCCTGACCATTATGAGTTTAGTCATCACCCCACTGTGTTCTAGAGATTGGAGCAAACAGCTCTGTTGCCCACTTGTTCCACACTTCTCCCTCCCAGGCCAGTCAGTGGCCACAAAGCTCACGTACATGGTAAGGTTTCTCCCCTGTATGAATGCGCAGGTGGCTCTTAAGAGTCTGAAGGTGCCGGAAGCGGGTGCCACAGATTTCACAGGGATAGGGCTTCTCTCCAGTGTGGATGAGCACATGAGCACGGAGATGAGCCACCTGAAGGAGGAGCACAGTGTGAGAGATGCTGCCAGGGAGCACTGCAGGCCTACCACTGGGTCCTCATATCCACACAATCCCTTCTCCCTGCTGTCCTGCTCACCTGTACAAATCTAGCCCCACAGGTTTCACATTTGTAGGGCTTCTCTCCAGAGTGAATTCGAGTGTGGGTCTTCAGGTTGGCTGGCCGGTTGAACTGGGCCCCACAGATGTTACAGCGATAGGGTTTCTCACCTATGACCAAGACAATCAGAAAAAGGAAACCATATTTAATGGAGGTTACCACTGACCTTCGATTTTAAGGTAACTACCCCTTTCCAAGGCTATTATGCCTTCACTTCTCTCCAGTGAGGTCAGAGAGAGAATTTAGGGGCCTGCCACTCTCTCTCATACATACACCGGCACATCTGGTGGGGGACAAGGCCAAGAAACAAGCAGTGGCATGGTGGGGCGGAAACAATACTAAACTTGGGACATGACGGAAAAGCTTCCAGGAAGCCTGACCTGAAAAACCTGTTGTCCTTAGGGTCATCTGCCTACAGGACTTGGGCAAGATACTGTCCTTCTCTGGGCCTCAGTTCTCCTCTCTGAATGGGCAGGGCTGATCTAAATGACCTGGGAAGACTCCGCTGGCTCATACAGACTAATGCAACAAGCCACTCACTCACCAGGGAGATACAATCAGGCTGCTCTAGTTTCTCCTTCAAAACAAATGTGCTTGTGGCAACTACAGCTGTATTCCATTTGCAAAAGGGGTGGGGCATAGGTTGGAGCAGAGGACAGCAGAGGTAACCACTCTAAGGACTGGGCCTTCCACCATGAAAAGTTTCTGGGATAACAGCGCCACTTAAAGTTCTGAGAGACAGTGACTAGCCAGGACAATCAGGTTGTGAGAAACTCCCTGGAGAAGGAATGTAAATTCGTTGATAAGTGCTTGGAGGTCATCAGGAGGCTTTTCATTTTAACTGGCTTTACCAAAAGCCAATCCGCTTGGCCTCTATTAGCATTTAGTCTCCTCACCTAGGGGATTAATACCTCTAACTCCAGCAAAGGTAGAGAAGCAGAACAGAGTCTTAGAAGAAAGACAAAGAATATGGGAGTGGCAGAGACAAGACAGGTTAAGCCCTTAGTTCAGGCCAGGGTGGGAACTGCCTCCAGCCTCACCCCACCAAGTCCCAAGGCTTGCCCTAGAACCCTCTGTCTGCTAGACTCTAAGAATCCCAGGGCACTGAGGGGATGGAGCAGGGCCATACCCGTATGGACAGTCTTGTGGCTGGCGAGGTTGCCCTTGTAGCGGAAGGAGGCCTGGCAGCGGTCACACTTGTAGGGTTTGTCACTGTGCGTCTGCAGCGTGTGCCTCTTGAGTGAGGCCTCCTCAGAGAAGCGGCAGTCGCATTCATTGCAGAAAAAGGCCCCATTCTCTGTTGGAGGGTGGAGGGATATCATGTCAGCATGAGGAGGCCAAGTAGGGCTCTAAGGCCTCCCTCCTCAGCAGCTACCCCAGAGTCACACTGGACCCCCAGTCTCCCCATCCAACACTTGTAGAAGCCCAAAAGGCCTATGGGATTTTTATTATTCTTAGCATTTAGAATCTCAGTCATGGAAGAGAAAGAAAGCAGACAGACTGAATCTTAAGGTACAGAAGTTCCACCCTAGAGGCTCTCATAGGGCCTCACCAGTTTGAGGAAGACTTAGCAGGGCCTTTTCTCCTCCCAGAAGCTCTAGGAACTCTTATCAGCTCAAAGTTCAAGGTCTATTCATGTCTATACATAGCAGCCCTGAGGCAAGACCCTTCACCTCTCTAAGCCACTCTGTACTTCTATCTCCAAAGTAAGGATAATAATCCCTGTCCTTTTTACCGCACAAGAGCACATTATACAGCACAAAATAAAATATGATGTATTATGGGGATGTGAGATACAGGTCAAATTCCATTATACTTTGAAGTCCCTGCAAGAGGGATTAATGATGAAGATTCCATGGTTATCTTTGCACCTATCTGGATTTCATGTCTCCAAACCCATCTGTGACACTAAGACACTAAAGATGGAAACAGAGGCCCAGAGAGAAGGAATTAGAAGGCAGACCAAGACAATCATTCCAGGAACAGGTTGGGATAGTCCCTGCTCTCCCTCTGACTAAAGATCTGTAACCCTGTATCAAATCTCTCACTGTAAGGAACTCAATTTCTTTCTTTTGTTATAACAATTTGAGAATGGTACATCACTGTACTAGAACCCCAATGATGTCTTTACTAGGTCATAGAAAATCCATAGCCAGAAGCGGGTAAAGAGTAACACTTTTTATCTGGTTAGACTGAGGGTGCCAATACTGACTATACAGAAATATTCACTTTTCAGTTTAACTAACTTAATTCAGCAAACATTTTCTGAGTACTTCCTTCATGCTAAGACCTAGTAGGACCAATGAGAGATGCAGGGATGAGTAAGGCAGATGCTTCTCCACAGGGAATCAGCAGCCTACTGGGGAACACTAACATGCACCCAGGGAAGGGTAGTGGTTTGGGCACAGACAGGTTGAGAAAGCCCTGGGAATTAGAGTCAGCCCTGCAGGCAACCTATATTGGAATAATACTGAAGACTGCTTAGCCAGTGTGGTTACCCCAGATCAACTCCAATACTTGACCACTTGTTTTGATTAGCCCAGTTCCTGGAAGATGGAGAGGGAGGCTGATGATTGCTGGTGATTTTAAGTGCCAGTGGACTTCTAATCATGTCATCTCTCAGAGACAACAGTACAAATAAAATGGAAATACAAATCTCATGGAGCATAGGGTTCTCCCTTCTCCCAGGTATGGAAACGGAGGGCAAGAAAGGGACTCACCACAGCTAGAATCTGAGTACTCTGACTGAGTCTCTCCCATCTCCTCAGGGAAAGTGGGGCCAGCAGTGTGGAGGCAGATCTCTGTATGCTGAGGGGACTGAGAGCCACAGGATGTGCACTTTGGGGGGTGCATGTAGAGTGGTGAGTGGCTCTCACTGCTGCTTCGGGGTGAGCCAGTCAGGGACCTGTGAGCGGGAGCAAAGAGACTCAGCACTCAGCAGGGGAGAGGGCCAACCATCCCCACACCAACCTCTCCTCTCTGTGTTCAAGCAAGCCCAGTGACCAGCACTGCCCTCCCAAACTCAAGGGGTTGGGGGGGCAGCTCACAGTTCTCCTCAAGCCTGCCTCCTCTCGCCTGGGTCAAGCAGACCCCAAACCCCACTCCTGGGCCCAGTTGCTTCTCCTCAGAACTGGTGCCCATAGCCTCTCTTAATCTAAGAGAGGAATTCCCTCTACATCAAGATCACAGGAAGTGCCACTGGGATTTGTGGAATGCTTGCTTCCTTCAAGGGAATGATCTCTTGCTATGAAAAACAAAATGAAACAAAGTAGGACTCTAGTGTAATATACTTCTTTTTTAGGCCAATTTGCTCTAGTACTAATTCCACCCTCCCTGTGGCTTGGCATTTCAGACAAGAGAACAAGAAAACGGCCCTGCCCACTGTGTCCATCAGAGGCTATGACCCTAGAACTGTGCTCAGGTAATCCCTGACCTTAGACCCAGTGGGGCTCTGAAATCACCTGTTAACAATGTTATTGAGCCGGCTAGCTTGGGGGATGGTGGAGTCCTCAACGCTGGCACCAAGCTTCCTTGGGGACTGGAGATCCAGGTTCTCAGGCTCCATGGGTGGCTGGCATGTGGGTGGGGCAGGGTAGGCTCGAGGGGAGAGGCGGCCCAGCTCTGCTTGCTCAGGCCCCTCGGATTTGGCATTCTGGTTGAGACTGTTGAGCACGATGAACTTGTACTTCTTCCAATTGCAGGCTTTGGGGTCAGTAGGGCTCTTGGCTGGAGGGGAGCCTGAGGCCTGAAGGATGCAGGCATTCTTGCTGCTGCAAGACTCTGTGGGTGAGTTGGGCTGGCAGTCAGATTTCTGGGGGCTCTGGGGGCTAACCAGACCCTTGCGATTCAAGGGTGCATTGGGGGGCTCGAAATGCAGGGCAATCTCATCCTCTGAAGAGGGTCTCTCTTCTTCTTTGCTGGCCTTGTCGCAGGGGATGTAGGGGGCATTCCGGACAGAGGGGGCAGCCGGCTTGGGGCCCTCAGCCACACTGTAGTGCATGTCACTCCGTGCCTCCTCTGGTACTGCCTCCTTGGGTGAGTAGATGTTGCTGTGACACAAGCTGGGGGCCACTTCTAGGGCTGGCCGGCTGTACTCACCAGGGACTGGCCTGGCACTGTCACAGGGGAGGGTCCGCTCCTTCGGGAAGGGGTTGGCCACAGGCATTCGAGCATCTCTCAGCTCCTCATCAGAGAAGAGGAAACTGCTGAGTGGGAGATGGCTATACATGGGATATGAGGCTGACGGTGTGGATAGGCCACTGTAGAGGCTAGGGGCAAAGGCTCTGCTTTCACACCCAGTAGTATTTCTTAGTGGAAGGTTGTTCTCCACAACCTCACGACTTCGATAGGCCATGACGTCATGGGGCATCAGCATCCGGCTGTTTAGGAACTCTTCACGGGGAGGCTTGAGAGCAGGGACCATCTCTGCTTCACTATGGGGGAAAACGATCCAAAATTAGAGCTGTTAAGCAGATGACCTTCCAGTGATACTGTTATATAACCACATCTGTGCTTGAGTCAGCTACACATAGAAGATGTGGCTCTGGAATAGGGAAACACAATTATTAGGCATTTATACTCCAAAGTCTAGCAACCTAGGGTACAATTGGGGAGACCAAGCCCTGCAGAAGGGAAATGAGTTACTCGCACAGTATGTGCCTGATTGGTCATGATCTTGTAAAACAAGACACATATGAATGCATGTCTAGGAATCTATAACTCTTCTGATGTTGTAGAATGTCATGGCTTACATAAAGCTTTTTTTTGTCTTTTTTGAGACAGGGTCTCCCTGTAGCCCCAGCTGACCTGGAACTCACTATGGAGGCCAGGCTGGCCTTGAACTCACAGAGATCCTCCTGCCTCTGCCTCCCAAATGCTGGGATTAAAGGTGTGAGCCACCACACCCAGCACATAAAGCTTTTTAAAGCCCTCATCTCATTTCACACATTCAAAATCATGCAAGGAAGGAAAAACAAGCATTTTATACACACGGAAACAAGGAGGGAAGAATGTACACAATGCTGGTACTACACGCTCAGAGGGTTCCCTGTATGCAAAAAGGAGGAGAACAGGCAGTGAACGTCAGTGCAAAAAGCCTTGGCTCTGGAGCAACCAGACCTGGTTTAAAACCCAGCTCTGCTGCTTATGGGCTCTATGACCTGGAGCAAGTACTTAATCATTCGGAGCAAAAGCCGTGACCTGTAGAAAGCACTCCCAAATGATGGCAATGATGGTTTTGCTGCCATTATCACCCACAGGAGACAAAAAGCGCTGGCTGAAGATACTTAAAGGGACTTATGTGGGTGACAAAAGTAGGCCATCTCAACATGATCTCAGTTAATAGTGCTAGAACCAGAATCTTGAGAAGTAAAATGCCAGATTTCAAGAGACTATAAAGCAGGATGTTCCAACTACTCAGGTCGACTATGTGGCTCTGAGAACACGAATTCTTATCCTGTGAAGTGATCAAATACAGCCTAGAAACGTCTGTTAAGAAGGCAATCACCCTAGAGTTGCTGAGTCAAATATTCTGAAGAAGTCAAGCCTTGAGTCTCTGCTCCATTTAGCAGGATTCTTCACTTCTTTGGCTCCCTGAACCCTCACCTAATGAAGCTCATGTCTCCTATCCCTTGGGTAGGGGTTAGACCCAGTGGACTAAATCAGTTCATCAAGTATCCTCCCAAACTGGAGTATCATGATACAGAAGAAAAGCAATGCAGTCCCTATGAACTTGAGCTGCTCACACTCTGGTAGGGAACTAAGGTACTTATGTAAATAATTGAATAGAAATCTAAAATACATACATAAATACTAAAAGGGAAGGAAGGTCAGAAGGAAAAGCATAACACTTAAGAACATGAAAGAAGAGCTGAGGAAGGAGCAGTCAGAACAACCTCCATAGAAGCATCCACATTTGACCTTGAAGGATGGATGGGTGGGAGGAAAGAAAGTGACTACAAGAAAACAGGGGGTAGGAATGTACAGGACACACACATCTGGGCTGCTGCAGAGTGAGGTCTGCCTAGAGTACAAGAGCGAAGAAGGAAAGAAGTAAGTGATAACTGTAGAAACATAGACCGTACCATATTACAGGGAGCTCATTTCTTGAGCATGCATGATTTCTAATCTGGAACCATCCTTTTTGTGTCCAAGGCTTCAACCTAGGTAGCAGCTCACCTGGCCTTGATGAACTTCCTGCACGTGTCCACAACGTGCTCCATCTGCAGGTACATCGCTGTGGCCATCACAGCCATGATGTTGCCTTCCCGCAGGTTGAGCCGAGATGTGTACATGAAGTCCAAGAGTATGCAAAACCCCTCAGGGTTGATCTCAGGATCCAGATTGATCACACTAAGGTTGCATTTCAACTGGTCAGTGAAGATGCTGTAGAACAGGCCGCTGTAAAACAAACAAAGGTGCACCTAACAGTAAACACACAGGATCTGATGTTTACAGTAGCACTGCAGTGCACCTTCTCTTCTGAGGGACCGGACCCAGAACTCCCATGGCAATTAAGAATAACTTCACTTTTGGAAAACCTACTGTATGCTAGAAATTCTTAAGCATTTTACATGTTTACATTGATCTATGTTCCTCCAAACCTGCAAAATGTGTACTACCATGTTCCACCTTCACATTGGGGAAACTAAGATGACAGGGTGTGAGATACTCAAAATCACGGTGCCTGTTTTCCTGTTGTCTTAACTGCACGGATCATCAGAGTTAACTCGGCACTCATCTCATTCACTGTTCTATACTTTTGGGATAAGTATTTCCCCTCTTGTTTTATCATATTACCTTTATTTTTCAAAAGTCTACTGCATATTTTAAGGAGCAAGTTGGAAATGGATGACAAATAAATGAAAGTATGCCTATAATCTATACTGTCTTTCTCAAAGCACAAAGATTATCAAAAGATCAATTATTCCTAGATGAGTCAAGTCAAATCTCAAGCCATGTCTTCAGGTTACTGTGTCTAGTCAGTTAAAACTAGAATTCGAGACTGTCATTTCAATTGGGTTTTGGGTTGCCAAAAAGTTAGTCAAATCTTCCCCCAATAAGCACCTGTGCACCCTTGGCTAAAATATTTAACTTCTCTGCACCTTGGTTTCCTTACCTGCTAAGTAGGGGAATAATTATGTATGCTTTATAAGATTATGGTAAAAACAAAAATGTTAGGGGTATAAACTGTGCCTGGTACACATTAAACACTTATTAAACATTATTTTTTCTTGTACCTCTATAAACTCCTGTTCCCCACACTATTTTTAAAACTTATTATATTTTTTAAATTCAGTGTGTGCATGTGTGTGTGTGTATATATGCACGTGTGTGTACATGCCATGGCAAGTGAGTCAGAGGACAACTTATGGGAATCAGTTTTCTCCCTCCACCACATGGGTCCTGGAGGTCAAACTCAGGTCAGTAAACTTGGCAGCAGGTGTTCTTCCGCACTGAGCTATCTAGTTGACCCTCCACACTTTTTTAAAAAGTGCTAATAGTAAGTGTTGGCTAAGTCCTCTAATTGCAATACAGAGCTCTGATTCTACATCATTACACAGACCTGTGTCTTGGTTTCATCATCTACAAAATGGAGGCAAAATGCCATCCATAACAGATGGCTACTAGGAAGACCTTAGAAATTATTTCCTATAACACTGCCCTGCAAACTTGAAATGTGGGCAAATCTAAAGAATTAGCTGGCTCACTCACTCTATACTGAATACCCACAGAAAAACAGTTACAGTATAAAGTAAGTACAGTTAATCTGGGCACAGAGGCACACACCTATAATCCTAGCACTTATAGGTGAGAGGATTAGGAGTTCAAAGCCCGCCTCAGCTACACAATGAATTCGAGTTTCGAGGACAGCTTGGGCGTCATGAGACCGTGTCTCAAAATTTTTTTTTAAATTAAGTACAGTTACAGCATAAAAGGGCAAACAATCTCATACTCAGTTAAACTAACGATTCCCTTTTCTCTCTGGTTAATTGAAGTTACTCTCCTCAAACACATCATTCTTTTAGCAGTATATTATTTAATCACCCATCATGTCCTCAGAACAAAAACTCTTTTCTCAGAGTGTGCTCATTCAATTGCTTCCTGGGAGTCTACAATACCAGGCCATGTGCTAAGAACTGGAGACCAAAAGAATATCCTTTAAGACATAACAAATGGTCTGTGATCGTTCGGCTGACTACAAATAGGAGCACCCCCTTTTATTCATCCACCCTGCACTTCCAGACCACTCACCTACAGGCCATGAGCACGGTTTTATGGGCTCTGAACTGCTCACGGCTCACGACAATGACAACATCAGTCAAGATGTCACGACTGCGGAGACGATTAAGGTTGAGAAGGACATCGCTTGCGTGGCGGGTAAACTGGATACAGCTGTCAGCTGGTGAGGCCATTTTGTCTTCGCCTGAACAAAAGAAGTTAAACTCTTGTTGGTTCTCAAGAACCTATTTCCTGCTTACCAACTGTACTAGAGCAGATAGTTTAGCCTGCTAAGGCATAGAATGTAACTCAAGTCTCTAGTGGACAATCCATAGCCCATTTCTGGGCATCACTCTTCATAGCTATCAAATGAGGAGAACAATCTTTATCTGAAAGTTAGGATAGAAAGCTCTTTAAGGGAAAGGGGAAGGGAAGGACTGTTTGTTAAGTGTCCCCCCCCACCCCCCGCATACTAAATACTCTGCCAAGCGTTGAAAGGCAGTGAGTATGTTGCAATGGAGAAAAACCACCCTTGAAAAGTTATCCAGTTAGCTTTGCCTTCTGCTAGCTGTGTGACTTGGAGCATGTTGTTACTGTTTCTGGGGTTTGGTTTTCCAAAATAGGAACAGTAATGCCTGTGTGGTTTTAAAAATTAGAAATATGTGCCTAGACCATAATAGGTTCTTTAAAACTTACAGCTATTTTCATCAGCATACCATTTCATTATTCCACCATGCTCTGAGATTCTGAGTTGTTTTCTTTGATACTTTGAGTACCTAACACTAGCACAATGCTGGGGCATAGTGGGTGGCTAGGTCAGACTGAACCAAGAATGAGCAAGGGAATGAATGACCATATGAGAGTATTAAGCCAGTTAGTGTAGGGACAAGAGGGTGAGGACTGAGAACTACAGGGAGGGATTGGCTATCCTTTCTTCATTAAATGAAAGGTGATAAACTTTACAGAAACACATGCATTGGCAAAATTCAAAAATAATTTGTCTACAAAATTTTATGGTCATATAATTTGATTTACTCACCCAATGCCTTGCTTCAGAGTCCAAAATTTTGCTTTAAAACTGCAGAGAAGAGAGCAAACAGATTGGTTTAATGAATATAAGATTGTCCACTCCAGTCTTATTTTAGGACACACATAGTTTTGCTTTGATAGCTGCAGCCTGCCAGCTGGTGTGGTTTTACCACAAGCTAGCAAACATATTCCAGTTCTGCTCTTACAGAAACAGGCACTCAGATTCAGTAATAATGCCCTTACCCTGAGCACTAGGAATATAGTTGTCGCATATACCTGTATGCATAGATTTCCTTTCCCAAAGTAAAATATTTACACAGCAAAAGGCCACTTGAGTTTATTGGAAAGAAAAAAATAAGAAAAGTAGTTTTTTCAATATTAATGATAATGATCCTTCAGGGGCCTAAAAACACTGGATGCTATTCAAAACCTTGCTAAAAATATTATCTTTCAAGTCTTAGAATGATTCCACAAGGCTGATAGGGTCAATATCTTTATCCTTATTTCACTGGTGATGAAATTGAGACTCAGGGTTCAAGTGACTTGCTCAGGACAAACAGCCAAGCAGTATTTCCTGATTCTCTGGAACACTTCAGACTGGATACTGAGCCTACAGAATACAACCTGAGACATCATGTTTACGCATTCCTTGAGTATCTTTGCCCTCTTTTCAAAGTTTCTTCTCTGCTAACTTCCAGATCTAAAACCAGACAGAGTACTACAGCCTCTAGGTTTGTGCTTCTCCCTGCTGGGGAAAGATTTAACTGTGTAGTTTAGCTGAGAACTGGCCAGGGAACATTAAACCTGAAAGAGAGTTCATGAAACGTGCCCTCTCCAAATTGGTTTAACAAAATCATTAAATGCATAGTTATAAGACTCTCAATTTTGATTGAATGTGGGCTGCAAAGCTATACTCTATTGGGTATTCTCTTTTCCCATTTAAAAAGCACAGTCCTTTAGAGCTATTTTCCGGGTAAAGGGGCCTGAGGCCAGTGAGGTCATGTTGGGCCACATAGATAGTTGATGGCCTGGCCCTAGGTCTTCTGGCTCAGATTCCTGTCCGTTTTCCAAATCAGCCTACGTGCTGTGGAACATGCAGGACAGCACCCTGAGGTGAGTGAATCTCATTTTTAAGCTTCTTCCCCCACACAAACTTTGCCCCATTCCAGGCCGCTGAGTCTTACCAAATGAGCACTCTAAAATGAGAGGTTTCCTTGAGTCTGTAACCAAACACTCTGACTTTTCTCTGTGGTCCCAAGTGCCAGGCACTCAAGCTCATCAGCTTCAAGTTTAGTGTGTGCATGTGAGTGAGCAGGGACTGGGGAAGGAAATGGGGGAAGAGAGAGGACAGAAAAAGACAAAAGAACCTGTTTCTTCCTGCTCCCATCCTCATTCAGGACATGCAAAAAGAAATTTCACTTGCTCCTAACCCAAGTTCAGTGACTGTCTCCTTTGAAAAAGAATGCTGAAGACACATGAAGTTTATTTATAAACTTTCTCCTGCTTCCTAATGGAAGAGATCCTTAAACACTTCTGGAACAGACTGTGCTTCAACCACCAGCTCACTTGTGGATTTTCAAGCAGACTTTTGGAATCACAGGAAGCCCAGATTTGCCATTTCACCATGACAAGTGGCAGTGACTCACTCCAGATGAAGACCAAGCAAGCAAACAAACAAAGCAGCCAGCCAAGTTCACTGTCAGCCTGGCCTTGGGCTTTTCACCTTAAGCCTGCCCACCTGAACAAAGCACATACACATTACCAGGCAGCCTGTGTCCTACAGAATACCTGTCCCCTGTAAGTCAACTAGGTCTCAGCAGGTTCCACAAATCCCACCCCCCAGGACACTGCAGATAGAGAAGCAACCAATATTCAGCATGTTTGTTTTTACAAATCACTCAGTCCTTTCCCACTCATTATTGTATCTTATCTTTATAATACCTAGGATTCACTCTGAAGGAACTGAGGTGGCTCTGAGAAATAAGCCCTCAAGAGCTCAAAGCTATTCTTTAACAAAGTTCTATGCAAACCTCTGCCAACTCCAGCCATACCAACACCACATACAAGACAACCATAAAAATAACCCCAGGAGCATCAGACCACCAAGAAAAAAAACAAACAAACAAACAAAAAAACGAACCAGAACTGACTCCTGACTCTCTTATACGCTGCCTACCCCCCCCCCATCCTCTCCTTCCCAGGGTGCTCGGTAGACTCAATGAGGCACTTTGAGAAGGCAGCCTCTCTAAAAGAGCTTTCCTTGGAAAGGGGGGGGGAGGGGGGAGGGGGTAAAAAAATAGCCAAAGAAAGAAGGCAACAGAAATGAGGAGAGAAGAGAGATCTCTCACAGGTGAGGTTAAGAGCCAGCACAGAAGCCCATTCGAAGACCCCATCCTTTTCCTCCCTCCTCCCCTTGGTCTGGCACTAAGCAACTGCTTCCTCCAGCCTGCACACACCAGCAAACCCCAGTCAGGTGCGCCTTGGACAAGCCTGCGCAGACTCACTCACCCCACCTTGCTGTACCTGTCTTCCGGGGACCGCCCACCCCCTGGCGATCGACTGGCACCTCTGGCACCACTGGCCATCCACCTCGAAGCCTGGGAAGTCGCGGCCAAGGCCGGGTGGTAGGACTGTAGCGGCCCTTAATTTGGCTACATTCAACTAAATGTTTTTGTGCACCTCGGTGGCTAACATTGTGTGCGTGCCTTTTTTTTCCTGTTACTCGGTTAAGGCAGGGGGCAATGAGGGGAATGGCACAGCCCTCTCATTCCGGGAACGCAGTCGATTTCAGCTCTGCGGATTTCACAGAACCCTCCTGCCCATAGCCGGCTCCAGCAAGAAGTAACTTTCCAGGAAGCTGTAGCCCGACAGCCGCCAGGATCTCGGGCTGCTACGCCGCTGGGGACTCACCCCGCCGCTCGGGGGGCGGAGGCTCGCGGGGCGCGGCACCATTTCCCCTAAATCCCCGATCCACGCTGGTTCCAGGCTGAGTTCACCTGGTCCCCATATCCCCAGAATCTACAGACAGGAAAGTCAAGCAGTTAGCGGAGCCCAGCGCACAGCCCCGGAGTCTGGAGCCTGTCTGCTGGCGTCTGACTTCCAGTAGCTGCTTTCCGGCGTTTCCCTGTGGCGATGGTTTTTGTTTGTTGGCGGAGTGGGGTGGGGGGTGGGGTGGGTGGTGGTGGTGGTGTTTCTTTTAGTCTTTCTGCCTGCTCCCTCTTCCCCTGATGTTTAAGGGAATGGGTAGGTGAGACGTCAAGGTAAAACAGATGCAGACCCCTAGAGCTAGGGGTCTCCATCCTGCCAGACTTGCTGAGTTGGAGGAAAACTAAACCCCACACTCGTTCCGTCTACGTTGACAAGAAAAGGAACCCAGCTCTACCCGGTTTCCGCCCAGTCGCCTTTAGAATCGGAGCTCCCAGGCTCGGGGAGCAAACCCTATTTTCCTGAAACTGTGGAGACTCAGAGCCCCAGCGTTAGAGCTCGGCTAAGGCGCCTCGCCTTCCCGGGAATTAACCTCCAGGGACGTCTAAATGCCTCAGTAGCCGGCTGGCCTACCGCCTTCCGGGAGGCGTTGGGGGCGTAAAGTCTCACCCTCCAGGCCTAGGTTCAATCCTAAAAACTAGCGGATAGCGTCGCCGCACCAAGCATCCTTCCAGGGACGGAGGCGGGGTTGGGCTCCGTCCTCAAAGACTGGGGTCTTTTTGACCTCAAGAGCCAGTCTTGCGGCCTTCTCATCCCTCGCCCGTGGGCTAAAGGTGGGAAAAAAGAACTTGATATGGACAGAGGTGACTATCTGGGGAGTAAACTTGCACTTCTTGGAAAATTCGAGTCCTGGGACACCGGGAGCGCAAACCTAATAGTGTCTTTACCGCTGCCTGACGCTAGAGAGAGCTCTCCATCAAGACTTGAAACAGACCCGAGGCTCGCCCCGCCCCTCCTTCCCATTGACCTAGTTTGACAGTCTCCGGATTTGGAGAATGCTTTCCCCATCCCCCACCCCGACCCCACAACCCAGGTTGGTTGTGGGATTATTGGGAAACTAATAGCTCCAATAACTCGTTGAAAAGTTCAAAGAGGGATCTGAAAAAGCCAATCACTGGGTACAGGGACAAGTTTTCTAAGCCTGGGGACCGCCGCACTGAAACTCTCCTCAGGACTCAGCAGGAGCGCGCTTTCCCAGCAGAGCTCGGCTAGCGAGCTGCTCCCGTCTAGCCACCCTGCTCTGGCCGTGGTGGGTAGAGTCAAACCTCGGTGTTATTTCTGTTCTGGAGGTAGAGGGAGGACAATCTTCGTGCTCTTGACTGGGGTCGGGGGTGACAATACGGATAAAAGAGAGTTAGACAGTGCCCTGTCCTCCGCAGCTGCGTCGGGTAACCAAGATGTTCGTGGACTTTATATCCTGACTTTCATTCTATCACGTTTCCTGCCTCAGTGCTCGGCAAGCTTCTAGGAAATACAATAAAATAAAGGGATGCCTTTTATCATCGAGATCTGAAGAGATGCAGAAGGGACGCTCTCCACGCGCTCGAGACCGGCCCCAAAAGGCCGGCAGACAGCTGCGCAAGCCTGGACCCCGAGCAGAGATCCCCCCCCCCGCCCCCGTCCAGACGGGACTGGGATCAGCCTTTGCAAAAACAGGCCTGTGGGGCAGGAGAGGGCATTATCTCCCCAAGCAAACAATGCCTTTTAAAATTCGAGCTGGACAGAAGTCACCCACGGTCTTTATTCACGTTAATGAAGATGGAAGGCACTAACTGTCCTTGGAAAGCGATGAGTCAAACTTGACCGCGCTTCAGACACGTCCCCAGATTCATTTCCAACCTGAACAGAGGCGCATTTCTCTGCTGTGGCCTCCGACAACTCCCGCAGTGCGAGAGGCTGAACTGAATTCCGCCGGACATGGGCGGGGAAAGACAGCTGTCTGGGCGGGTGAGGGCGCAGGCGGCCGCTGGAGGACGCCAGCACTCCGAAGCACGGGCTATCTCAGTCCAGAGCTTCGAGAAAGAAAACTTTTCTAAGGAGATGTGACCCAAATTCTGGGCGAATAACGCTCTATCTGTATAATCACATACGCGCGCGCGCGCGCGCGCACACACACACACACACACACACACACGGTTTCTTTCTGGGCCACTAAGGGATAGATGAAATGGAAGAAGAGTGAATCCAGGGTGGGAGTGTGAGCTTACACAACAGTAGGCTCACTTCTGCAACAGTCGGCCAAGTAGGCCCTGGCCACCCTATCCCCAGTACATGAGTACTCCCCGAGCTTTGAGAAGCCCCACTCCTCAGCCCTAATGTAGGCTGTCCATGTCTGCTGCCGAAAATCTTGGGCCATAGTTTCTAAACAATTCATTCAGACTGCTGGGGGAATCGTTTCTAGTTTGCACTGGCTACAAAGGGGCCTTAGAGGGTAAACTGCTGCCCCTTTATCTTAAAGGAACGGGGGGGGGGCAACTTGCCTTTGGTGAACTCTTTGGAATTCAGAAACTTACATGTTAGGCCTGCAGTAAAAGTTTAAATCTAAAAGCTCCTGAGGTGTGGGGTGTCATCCTGCTACCAACTTTCGCTGTGGAGAGGCCACAGACACAGACACACGGTGTCCTCAAAGGTGTTTCTCTTAGTTGAGATAGATGAGGATCGCTGAGCTCCTGTAGACGAGGGCAGTGTGAGCATCTGGGGCCTTCATAATTTCCATTTGTCTTTCCGATTTAAGAGGTCAGAGGCCATTCTCCTAGCATCTCTCAGGATCTGAGGCTCGAGGCGGGGACATCCACAGACACCACTAGGTGGCGGACTCAGTCCGTTAGAAAATCACCCTAAGGCCACAGCCTTCCACTTCAGGCACCCTTGGTGGTGTCCTTTTTGTCAGTCTCTCTTAAGGGTGGGGGTAGAGTTGCTTCCAAACGGAAGTTGGAAGAGTTTTAATTTAGCGGATTTAGTTTTTCACGATGCTCAAGCCTCTAGCAATCACAGCAGCACGGTATCTGGAGCTGCTGCTGTGTATTTGGTTGTTTGTTCTGCACCTCCCTCGCCCCCCACCTCCGAAAAGCTGGCTACACTTGTCTTCGGAGAGAGGAAAAAGAAAGAAAGTGAGAGGGGGGAGGGAGGGAAGAGAAAAGAATTAAAAGAAAAGAAAGAAAAGAAAAAGGAAAGTCAGTAATAAACCCGTGATCCCCAGGGAGGAAGGGGGCGGAAAAGGAGGCTCTGGGACCTAAGACCCGGTACCGCCAGGCAAAGCAGGGGTGGGGAGCCGAACACGCTCTATGGAGGGGCTACTGGTCTGGAAATGGAAGGGAAAGAAAGTTGGGAGGAGCGGTCCCTGGCTTGCTCTGAGGCGAAGAGAAACCGCCAGCTGGGCCACTGTGCAGCAGCTCCCTAGCACTTCGCCGCCGCGGTGTGGTCCCACTTGTTGCGCAGTGCAGGACACCGGCACGCGCCGCACCACTTTGACTCCCAGGAGGCTTCAGGCCATCCACAAATTTCACCCGCCCACCCCCGACACACACCATAGCAGCCCTTAGGGAAGCTACGGCGTTTTCAGTCACTATGGTTTTTCACGCCAAAACTTGTCTTGTTATCTCAACGTCAGACAGGCATTCGACTTCGGATGCCCTGAGAAGTCCAAAGAGGAAAACAGAGAGTTACCTCCACCCTCTAGAGACTCGCTACCAAGAAGGGCCAGCCGCACCCTCATCCCCAACCCCCACAAACCTTCCCTAAAGTCTGTCCTCTACATTACTGGAAAAACATCCTACTTGGAAAACAAAGTGTTTCTATCCTATTTGAGAACTCAACTGCAAAGCACTGATTTTTAAATTATTCATCTCCCCAATTTAAAAAAGAAAATCTCACGCGGGGGAGGGGGAACCACATGCTTCATTAAGGTCATTTCACAATTATTTTTCAAGTATTTGACTTTTACCAGTAGTTTCACCCACCAAGGGGTGGCGCTACCGCACCACCTCCCCTGAAACAAGTTTTTCACAACAGAATGGGATACCCTCGGTAGGGGACTGAGGGAAGGAAGGATTTTGACATCTAGTCATGGTATTTACTCAACCCATAATTGGAACTCCTCAGGGCTCAGCAAACGAAAACTTAAAAATTTA